CAAAACTATTCATCGGGCACAAAACAAATTTAAGCATTAATTAAGCTGATAGTCAAGATGAGAGCTTGCAAGGACATATTTATGGGCTTAAAGGTTCAGTTTGTAATATTTAGGAGGATCTATTAATAGAAATGCAATATAATAAACATAACTATGTTTTCAGTGCTGTATGAAGAAGTTACATATTAAACCGTTTCTATCTATATACACCGTGGGTTATGTATTACTGGAAGAAGCCACCCCGTGGGTTTGAATGGAGAGCAGTGAAAGCAGTTTTGGTACTATGAAATACTACTACAGGGCTACTTCCTGTTGGCATCAGCGTCTACTGCGCAGCATAAGCATGGTTTAATGACGTAGAGCAACGGCAGAAACACCGTAATACTGGTAGCTACAGGGCTGCGGCAACAAAAAGTCTCTTGGCTTAGTGTGTCTGACTCGGATCGTCACTGTTTAATCTGCCCACCTACGAGGCTCACCTGCCAAACACCAACGTAGCGTCATGATGGCCGAATATTTTTTTTTTGATTCGCCTAGAGTTTATAATCTACCCAGTTACAGTTAGTCTTTGGTTGGCTTCACTGTTCAATCTGGCTTGCCCCCTTGGTCCCCTTACATGGATGTTGCCATGTCGTGCCGGCATGTTGTGCCGCCGTGTTTCTACAGAGGCCCGAACGGACAAACTGCTCCACAGAGCACGTTTTGTCACTACATTGAATACGTACAAAAAAAAAAGACGTAGTAGTAAGAGTAATAGTAGTAGGAGTAATAGTAGTAGTCGTCTAGTTTGTAAGAAGAGAAGTGAAATTTGGACAATTGGAGGTCCACAAGTATTATTTAGCACAAGAGCTGACAGAGCGGGGTGAGCGATGACTGATGTGGTGTCGGAATAATCGGAATTTTATTTTCCTCCTTAAATCATTATTGCAAAAAAAATTAAGACTAAAGTGTACATGGGACATAAAGAAGTATACAGTATAGTACACAAATATATAAAAAGACAAATATTAAAAACTTTGCCAAGGGTAGCGTATATTATATAAAGATATTAAAAGAGGATCATATATTGACAGTTTTCACAGCCTTTTTGTTGTTGGATTTAGAAATTAAATTGATATAATGTACAAACTCGTGGAGAAAAAGGTGCAAAGCTAGTTTTTTTACTACTGATTTTACGATTGCCATTAGAAATAAGTACTTTTTTTTTTTCTTTGACTTTTATAAAAGCCAATTACCACATCCTATAAATATGGTCAATGACGAATCTGCTGAAGTCGAAGGAGTTGCCGAGTTGTTGACGTCAAACATGTAGAAACATGGCGGACAACATGGTTGATGGTAAGAAATTTTTGATTTGTGCAAAATCACGTATTAAATATACATATTTTGCAACAATTTTTGGTTAACTGGTTTCAACAAGACATGCGCACATCCAGCTCTTTAGGTCACAATTAAATTCTTCAATCCTGATACTACAGGTAAATTCCAGTGGATTGTTTTGCTTTCCGTCGGAGTTTACATGAAAGAAATTTAAATAGGTGTAAACACAGAGAGTGTTCCAGCATGGCTGGATGAACGTCTTACTTTTAAAACACATCTTATTGTTTTGGTGAGGAAGCTTAGAGTGAAGATTGGTGTATTCTACAGAAATAAATAGAAACTACTTTCATGTCAGTACTTGACTATGGCGATAAACTGTATATGCTTCATCTGCAGTGCTAAAACCTCTTGATGCAGTTTATCATGCTGCTTTGCGGTTTATTACAGATGCCAATTACAACACACACCATTGTCTTCTGTACTCGCTAGTGGGGTGGGATTCTTACCAGGCACTGGTTATTATTCGTCTATAAGGCTATAACGCATAAACTTCCCAGCTATCACTAAAATAAATTGGAAAGTCGGTGGTTATCAGGCACGTTCCTAAGATTGGTTAGTCTTAGAAATTCCCCCGAGCCCATTCTGAGCTAGGGAAAACCGCCTTTGAATATAATGCTGCGAATTCTTGGAATAAATTACAGGAAAAGGTAAAACTGATTTCAACAGGACAATTTAAAGCAATGAACACTTTCCTCACGAATGTAATTGTTACCTAGAAATTGTCTGTTGTTTTTTAAATTATATTACATATATTTATATCTGTGATAAATATTTGGATCCGTTTGCTGGACACAGGGCTCAGCTGTAATAGAGTCTGAGTCAGTTTCTCTGTATAAATAAAGGTGAAAAAAAAAAAGAGGTCAGAGGAAGCCTTACTGCTCGCTTACATGGCTGTGGCTGTTTTACACAGAGGTCATGTCCTCTTTTTTTCTCAAGGAATTAGGGACATAATCCTTGTAGTGCGCTCGAAGCATCTTTAACCCTCAACTAGGAATTAAATTTGTTTGTGGTCACTCAATAGCTTTGTCGTTATGGAATCAGCATTGCTAAATTAATCAAGTGCTTGAAAACACAGACAACCAAACATGCCTGTATACATTCAATAATGTCACGAACATAGTGGACCAGAGTGCAATAGAAAAAAGTATCAAGTGTTTTTGCCATCGGTTTGCCATTCCAGTCTTTGTAAACCCTGAAATATGTGGATAAAAAGGTTGATTAACTGTGCAGCCAATTTGAAATGAAACTATATGTATGTATAGCACGGTCAGTAACTTATTCACTTGAGGAACTGCAGGATTAAATACAGATTACAACAGTGGTGTGCTTCACATCAAAGTGTAAAGGGGCCATGTCACTAAACACAATATTCTCTTCAGTTGACCTCATTTCATCCATTGCATAACACATACATTTTTACATTGCTAGTGTTGGATTGCCTTGACCGCTTTATGTACACAAAAAGGGACAACAAACTAAAGGCTGGAATGCAATATTTACAGATTAAAGGTCAGTTTCCCCTGAGACAGAATTCTTGCGTGGCTCATAATGGAGGACATGGTCATGTGAAATGAGATATACTAATTATTGTGATTGGCATACAAAAAATATATTACACTGCCAACCATTTAAAGCTAGTTTCTTTCATGAATGTCATCATCTGTGCTTCACTTTTTAGCACTTTGGAGTTTTCTAAGTTGATTGAACGCCTGCAGCAGTAATCACTAATATCAGGTGAACACAAGAAAAGCTTTTTCTTCTGTTTTGTCATATTTAATAGTTATTTATGGAAACCGCTTCATCTGTCTCTTTACTGGTTCCACCCTATATTTCTTTATCCATTGCAGCAGATACAGATGTAAGGATAGAAGGTAGAGGGATTTTGCATACTACTAACTCTGACAATTTAGTGTTTATTGACTAAATATTGATATATTTGGGAGACAGGGTGCAGAAACCTTTTATTTTATATTGGTTAAACCTTTCTGAGAAACTCTATTGCTCTTTAATGTGATCAAAGAGTTCAGTGTGCCTTTTTGATTGTTTCAGACTGTCACAGTATAGTCTAACACAGTGGTTCTCAAACTTTTTCACATCAAATGAAACTGACACAACTTAGACCACGGACCACCATTTGATAGGATTTTGTCCCAGGGTCGACCCTCTGAAAGGATTTTGGCTTTTAAATGTTGTATTACAGAACGTGAATGAAACCCATGACCAAAGCAGTCCTACAGTCTGTCCTTGTGTTAGTTATAGATGGACTTATGGTGAAAATAAAGGATTTTCCTTTTTGCTGGGGCCCCCCTATAACCCTCCCAAGGACCCCACTTTGAGAACTACTGGTCTGACACACTGGCCTTTCAGTAAAATCACATGAACGTCTTCCTCTTCTTCTCTTGTTACTTAATAATCAAGTCTCCTGTGAAATTGTGTTTCAATTTTCAACTGGTGTTTCTGTGTGGCAGAAGTAAGAGGTTTCTGAAAATGGCGTCACGGCTGAATAGTAATTAAAATTCTATAGTTGGCTCGCAATACAGGAGGTGAAAACTAAATCTCTGGGTATTTCAAAACAACTCTGAACACAGATGGTACATTATAATTCCAAACTCACAGTTTTGCTGTACAATGCATCATTCATACATCCTGCCAACACTCAACTGTTCCCCAATGTCAGTGTTTCAGTGTGTTTGCTCAGTTTCTATGCTTTTCCAGTCAAGTGTGTTATTATATTATTCATGACATCTGTGAAAAATGCACCGCACTGTGGAAATATTGAAGAGAAGATGAAAGAACAGACGAATAATGACATATTTTCTGTCACCCTACACAATTTTTTTTTTAGTTTATAGCAGTTTAAGCTATTCGGAGTCTAAACATCACTGAGAATCTGGCATGGCATTAAGTCCAAAGGTCACGAAATAAATAGATACAACAAAGTAGAAAAATAAGGTCGAGACCATGTTAGCTATTTACTTTTACATCCAAGGTCACACTAAAGGGGTCAGAGGACTGGTATGTTGGGCACTAAACACCTAACAAAGTACAGTAACACCCCTTGAAGAGGCTTGCACAGTCTCTGTGGAGAGTTTGGCTTCAAGGGGAAACTACATTTAGACAGGAGGCTTTGTGCCAGGGAGCTCGGTTGGCAGCGACAAAAGTGAACTTTTGCCCAGTCAAAGTGCTCATTTACTAAAAAGTCTGTACAGAAAGGAAAAGGACTACTTAACTCCTTGTTTGCACATCATTGCAATCTACAGGCAATGGCAGGAGGATTAAGGAAAACGGCGGCTAAACTTCAAAGGCAGGGGAATTCACTTGGATAATTCTGAATTTTGATGAAATCCACTTCCCGAATGAAATGAAATGAAAGCAGACTGACCCTATTTCCCACTTTCAGGACAAAAATAAGTCTGAATCAGCTAGTCCGCTGTACTCCTAGAGGTCATTGCACTTATGCCCAGAACCTGCAGAGGAATTAAAGGGATATATAGGATAAAAAGTTGGATAAAGTTGTGTTTTTTTCTGACCACTTCAGGCAGGGTGCTATTTTCTGGCGTCTCACAGAATAACATCTTCAGGGAGTTTAACACAACACCACCACCAACACAGAGATCTAACATTAGGTGTGTTCTTTTTAAAAAAATGGAATAAACAAAGGTAAGAGGTGATTATCCAGCTATAGCCTTTGAATATTTTACACAATTACAATTACACACCACTGCGATAGCTCCGCTCGCTTTGTCTCCGTCACCCAGAGACACTGAGGTTTCCAAAGAGGCTTGCTCTGATTGGTCAAAGCTGGAGGATGGAGGAGGTCATATTGGCCGGGTCCATATTTAAATTTATACAAGCATGTGGATCTCGTTGTACTCATCTCGTCCATCTTCATCAAAGTTGGGAGAATCCTCGTCGCAATCCAGCTGCGGAAAGAGAAATTATCTTGATTAATTTTCATTCAAAGGTCAAATTCAGGCAGGATGTTGCTGTTCAAAGAAACTCGGATGAAATTATTGGACCATGTCAAAAGTTTGACAATTTGGGAATTAAGCTTAATGGCTTTCTTTTCTGGCTATACGAAGCTACAGCCAGCAGCTGGCTAAATTAGCTTAGCATAAAAACAGGGGGGAAACAGGGGGGAAAGTGCCCCAAGCATCCAAAAGAAAAGAAAAGTGCAAAATCTGGTACATATACTGTAAGGGTGAAGGCAAGGCAAATGTATTTATAAATAGCAACAAGGCAGTTTACGTTAAAGGTCTAAAGTTACAGAGTGAGTAAAATTTTCAGGTTTTAAGTTTAATTTCAAGGTCCTCTTTAGTTTCAGGAAATTCCACAGTGCCTTGGGTTCATGAGACCTTTGGATGAACACAACACGCATGGTGGTCAAGTTAGGAACAAAGCTGTTTATCCTAGCATTTTGGAAATGGAAGGTTTTAATCTGACAGTGATGACATGTATGGGTTTGGGGGATATAACCAAGAAAACATGCTTCATGACGGACTGTGACTCTCTTTCTGGTTAGAACACAGAGCAAAAGGAAATATTTGCATTTCGTTTGAAAACATTTGCAGGGAGCTGTTCGTGATCCCAGAGGAGAAACTCATCCGTAGTTCATATGTAGCAAGAGATCTTAGACAGATAAAAACAGGCCAACGTCCATCAAATGTTAAATTTGCTGCAAAAGAAGTATCCCGAGCCTCTGCGGGATCAGATTATTGTGGCAAAGATTCAAACATTCCTGAAATGTCTCTGCTACCCAACTTACCGCCTGGAGCTCACGTTCCTCAAAAATCCTGGAGAGGATGAGGCGTCGCAGCGGCACCGTCATGATGAGGACGAAGGGGAACGCCAGGGAGGCCACGGTAGACTTCACTACCCACAGAGCCACGATGCACGCCAGCTGCGTGATGGTGAACAAGTTCATACGCCATGTCTTCACCTGAAGCAACACACGGTGGTTAATGGGTAGCAAACCAATAGACCGTCCACCACAGTACTGACGCACAGGCATAACTACAGACACATATAAAGACACGTTACAGTTTTTCATCACTGTTCGCAGGCATTTGAACTAAAATCATAAAACCATGACTCCATTTTTCAAAAAGCAAACCCATTTCCCTAAACCCTAGACACAAATCATTCCTCACTGCCTACATACTACCATGTGGTCAATGAGAAAACACTGACATTCAATATTGTTCACTGAAGTCACACAAAGATCCATTCGAGTCAATTGATAACACACCAAACACAGACTTCAATAGATAAAAGAGGAGGAAGGAGAAGAGGAGGAGGGAGGAGGAAGGAGGAAGGAGAAGAGGAGGAGGGAGGAGGAAGGAGAAGAGGAGGAGGGAGGAGGAAGGAGAAGAGGAGGAAGAAGGAAGAAGAAGAGCAGGAGGAAGAAGGAAGAAGAAGAGGAGGAGGGAGGAGGAAGGAGAAGAGGAGGAAGAAGAGGAGGAGGAAGAAGGAAGAAGAAGAAGAGGAGGAGGAAGAAGGAAGAAGAAGAAGAGGAGGAGGAAGAAGAAGAAGAGGAGGAGGAAGGAGGAAGAAGAAGAAGAGGAGGAAGAAGGAAGAAGAAGAAGAGGAGGAAGAAGGAAGAAGAAGAGGAGGAGGGAGGAGGAAGGAGAAGAGGAGGAAGAAGGAAGAAGAAGAGCAGGAGGAAGAAGGAAGAAGAAGAGGAGGAGGGAGGAGGAAGGAGAAGAGGAGGAAGAAGAGGAGGAGGAAGAAGGAAGAAGAAGAAGAGGAGGAGGAAGAAGGAAGAAGAAGAAGAGGAGGAAGAAGAAGAAGAGGAGGAGGAAGGAGGAAGAAGAAGAAGAGGAGGAAGAAGGAAGAAGAAGAAGAGGAGGAAGAAGGAAGAAGAAGAGGAGGAGGAAGAAGGAGTAAGAAGAAGAGGAGGAGGAAGGAGGAAGGAGACGAGGAGGGGGAAGAAGGAAGAAGAAGAGGAGGAGGAAGGAGGAAGGAGAAGAGGAGGAGGAAGAAGGAAGGAGACGAGGAGGAGGAAGAAGGAAGAAGAAGAGGAGGAGGAAGGAGAAGAGGAGGAGGAAGAAGGAAGAAGAAGAGGAGGAGGAAGAGGAAGGAGAAAAGGATGAGGAAGGAGGAAGGAGAAGAGGATGAGGAAGAAGAGGAGGAAGAAGGAAGAAGAAGAGGAGGAGGAAGAGGAAGGAGAAAAGGGGGAGGAAGGAGAAGAGGAGAAGGAAGAGGAGGAGGAAGGAGGAAGGAGAAGAGGAGGAGGAAGGAGGAAGGAGTAGAGGAGGAGGGAGGAGGAAGGAGAAGAGGAGGAGGAAGGAGGAAGAAGAAGAGGAGGAGGAAGAAGGAAGGAGACGAGGAGGAGGAAGAAGGAAGAAGAAGAGGAGGAGGAAGGAGAAGAGGAGGAGGAAGAAGGAAGAAGAAGAGAAGGAGGAAGAAGAGGAAGGAGAAGAGGAGGAGGAAGGAGGAAGGAGAAGAGGAGGAGGAAGAAGAGGAGGAAGAAGGAAGAAGAAGAGGAGGAGGAAGAGGAAGGAGAAAAGGGGGAGGAAGGAGAAGAGGAGGAGGAAAAAGGAAGAAGAAGAGGAGGAGGAAGAAGTAAGAAGAAGAGGAGGAGGAAGGAGAAGAGGAGGAGGAAGAAGTAAGAAGAAGAGGAGGAGGAAGAAGGAAGGAGACGAGGAGGAGGAAGAAGGAAGAAGAAGAGGAGGAGGAAGAGGAAGGAGAAAAGGAGGAGGAAGGAGGAAGGAGAAGAGGAGGAGGAAGAAGGAAGGAGAAGAGGAGGAAGAAGCAAGAAGAAGAGGAGGAGGAAGGAGAAGGAGGAGGAGGAAGGAGAAGAGGAGGAGGCAGAGGAAGGAGAAAAGGAGGAGGAAGGAGGAAGGAGAAGAGGAGGAGGAAGAGGAAGGAGAAAAGGAGGAGGAAGAAGAGGAAGGAGAAAAGGAGGAGGAAGAAGAGGAAGGAGAAAAGGAGGAGGAAGAAGGAAGAAGGAAGGAGGAAGGAGAAGGAGGAAGAGGAAGGAGAAGGAGGAAGATGAGGAGGTGGAGGAGGCCTGTCCCAGACCAAAGACAGGATGCTGGGGCAGAATAAAGAATTGTTTGGTGTGTTGTACTGTGCAGTAACTGAGGAATAAAAAATATGTGCAAATGTTTACATTTATTTTGTCGTGTTCCTCATGTGAAAAGACTGTTGAACCACAAGCAACAGAACTTATAACCAGTTTTTGTAGCATTGTTTTGAATTTCTCTCCCCAGTGTGTCACACTGTGTTGTAGCGTGTGTGTGTTTCTGAGGGCTTGTGTGTTATGTCTGAGGGCAGAGTTTGGTTTTTCAGCAAGATTGAATGGTTTTGAGTGGAGAGCTTCATTTTGACCTGAACATAGGATGTTTGGGGAATTGGGTGAGAAGTTGTGGATGAGTTTCGAGAAAAAGACGCATAATTTCAAGAAATGTGTTTAAGCAATCGAGATAAACCGTAAACGCTCCTCTGCATGAATTAAATCCTACATGTTTTTGGCTCCATCTAGTGGAACTAATGATTTGTGTAAAGTATGCAAAATATGCTGTCCTGTCCTTTTCCTGTGTTTTTCATGCATGTACCACAAAACGTGATTTAAATCTGACACCAAGTGATATCAGATCCAGAATCACCAATTTTCAGATCCTGTTATAGTGCAGCTTCTTTTTTTACTGTTCTCTGTTTATTGCTTAATCCCAACACAAGACCTTTAGTGAGTAATGATAAATTCTCTTAACTAACAAGGTGACTGCTGGCAGAGAAGCACAGTGTGTGCACTAACACTAACTCAAACTGAATTTTTATGTGTTTATTTTTATTGAAAATTATTATTATAATTTCATGTTCCTTGTTAGCCTGAAGTTTAAGCATTGTGTGCTGTTTGCGTGATAGAAAACACACGTCTTTGGTAGAAGTTCATTTGAGGCAGCGGCAATCTGAGTTACTCAAATCAAGCGAGTATCTTACAAAGTTACAGGGTTTTTATTATGAAATTCCCTCTTGCTGTCCCTCCACTGCAGCTCAGCAAGGAAACACTGTCACGGGAAGCACAGAGAGGGAATTCCAATTTAAAAAGATTTATAATTAATTTCCCCACAGAACAAGGTCTGGCACTTCCAGTTAGCCAGTATGAACAGGAGAGATGATAACAGCAATGTTCATACGGGCACCTGACTAGTGTTTTAAGTTACTAGTATCCTGACTATCATTGGGTCATGAAGTGCAGCCTCTTGCAACTGTAAAACGCTGGACAATCTAAATATCTGGTCTCTCTATCGAAACAAGAGTAAAAAATAAAGACTGCAGGAGCTGCCTGGCTGCCGTTACCACTCCGCTGGGTTTGGCTTCTCCAGCTTACCACTAATAATAGAAGACGAGGTCACGTAAACATTCTTATAGCGTCTGTTACCTTGGTGACGTAGATGTGGTCAGGGTGATGCTTGGCGGGCGTGACCATGAGCGTGATGCGTTCATACAGTTGGATGCCTGTCAGAGAGGTGACCCCCATGTACAGGAAGATGCCAAACAGCACCGCCAGAGGGATGTGGCGGAGCACGTCTGTCATCACTATGGACATACCTGATGGGCAGAAAGGGGTTTGAGGCGAAGTCTTCAAACGATATTACTGTTTTTCATGACACTGCTCGCATGTTCAAGAACTGTGGAGAGCATTTTTCATTCAGCAAGGGAACAGCCCTAAAGCTAACACAATGTCAGTTCCATTTATTTGAAACGTATCCACTGTTCAGCTGCCTTGGTTGAAATGCTATTTGGGCTAATCCAAAAAGTCTCATTCCTTATCCAAATAACATTTCAATCAAACAAAAGCTCAACTATCACGATGAGTCATGAGGGTTGTATCCCCAAACAGGATCAACCTATACTTAAGACTGCTTTGGGAGCTCCGCGTTAAGTGAAACAAGATACTCTGATGGCAAAACAGTATTAGTCGATGGATGAAAACAACGTTGCAATGTGGAGTTTAACAATTTTCATTTGGAAAAATGAAAAATCATTTAAAGCTGTTGCAAACGGCTGATTCACACTTTATGAATGTCTCGACATGCAGGAGCTGCAGAAGCGCCACTCTGTTCCTTTGAGCTCATGTTTTCTTTCAAGACAAATAATTGCCTGTAAATTCCAGCACAGTAATAATGCTGTAGAAAAATACAAGCCCCACAGGGAGATAATAAAACTGAGTAATTGCTCTGGAATTGATAAGTAGTTCAGATTCCTCTTTTTCTCCAGCTTCATTCCAGCTGCATAAGGGAACTATTTTGTGACTTTACTTCATTAATATGCAATTAAATTTATACTATAACAAGATTGTGGTATATGTTATTTAAAAGAAGCATTCCACTAACCAATTAACTAAAAGCCAGTCCCCTTTGGTAACTGTTGCTTTGACTGTCAAACTTTGGGTCCTAGCAAGGCGCATATTTATTTAACGGCCACGATGGTGGCAGATTTACAAGCATAATCTAATGCTAACTTTAAAACCCTGTGAGTTGGTTGAAAACTCTGTCGCCGGCTAACTTTTTACTGTTCCCAGATGATTTGTTGGCTCTGAACTTAAATGTTAAGTCATTTCCACCATTTTGCTTTACTTTGCTTGAGGATAAGGAATAACCGATGAGTTTGGCAGATGTAATGCTATTTAAGAAAATTGGGACTGGAGTCGCTGCCATGTTATCTTCCCCAAACCAAAAAACAGCTGTCATTACTCTAAACACTCTGCTAGTGACATGCCCCTTAGCTTTGGAATTAATGCTAAGTTGGCCAGGCATGTTAACATTTGCAGCTAATGTTGGAGCGAATAAACACACTGTGTAATGCACTCCTTAGAAATATGTTCTTGTGTTTTTGGTTTTGTAAAAGCTAACAAAGACACCACCCTCTGAAATTTTGAGAGAGTGACTCCCACTCCCACTCTTCCCTTTCCTCTTACCAACAAGAACAGCCACCAGAAGCCCGGTCAACCTCTGTTCTTTCACCTCCTGGATCATGGGCTTTTCGCCAGGCGCCGTGGCTTTGCTCATGACGGTGAGGGCGTTGACATGAGTGACGGAGCGCACAGTCGCTGCAGTGAGCCACGGCAGGCCGAAAAGAGGACAGATGGCACCGAGAATGACGATGAGCAGAAGATCCAGGTGGAAGCCTGACCCTTTAACCAGGCGACGCTCCTTCTTACTGACTATTAATCTGATAGATTGAAGGGAAAATATTTGAAAAGTGAAACTTAAGAGAAGCACACAGTTCGTAAAACGTATCCCTTACTATTTCACACACAAAGTGTTACCACTGTAGATAATTATACTGTAGAGTACGCACGAAGTGATCTGAGTTTCCATGAAAATGAGGATGAAGACGAGAAGGGCAGGTACAATAGATGCTCCCATCATCCAGGTGGGAAAAGGCTTCTTATCGCCAAAGGGACTGATGAACCAGCCTCTTTTGTCAGGGGCGGTGACTGAGAAACCCGACGGCACATTGAGTTTCTACAAGTAAATAAAAATAAAGTTAACGTACTCAGAAAAGGCACTCATTTATTGGAACTGTAATAAAAATGCACTTCAACTGCTGCTGTTGCTGTGACGGTACAGTTACCTGTGTGTAAGTGTCAGGGATGGCGATATCCACCAATACCGAAAGTAAAATCGAGATGGGGATGCCGAAGTCACCAATGATTCTTCTGACCTGGAAATAATGATATTTGATTCAGTTCACTTCTCATCACATTCAAAGTCTGAATTACATGACATCAGAGCTGCTGAATTGTTATGAATAGCTTTGAGACACAGCATGAAGGGATGTATATGTATGTAAGTGTAGAGTCACGTTAAAAACGTATACGACATACATTTAGAGATGAGGAAGTGTGTGATCAAAAAACTTCAACGTTCAAAACACAAAATAGAAGGTGTATTTTATCTTTGGTGAGTGTTTGCATTAAATGGATTTAAAAGGACCCATGTGGAGTTTTTGACCACCAGCAGCGCTATGGAGCAAGGTTTTTAAAAGTTGTTTGTTTCTTATGCACAAGCACGCGGTGACACGATTACATTCCTTCCACAGAAGATGACAAAGTGGTGAAAACAACCGACGTCAACAATACATGCTTCAAAATATTCAAAAATCAGCTTCGCAAATGTACCGAATTGTGCGGGAGAAAGAGAGCTTCCAACACGTTTGTTCAACTCGAATTTTGGTCAGAAACACAAAAAGTCTGCGGGATTTTGTTCATTGACAAAAAAGCTCCACATGAGACATTTAAATGATCATGAGCAACCTGACATCTACTGTTTGAATTGATCGTTTTTTCAGAGACTCAGTAAGGCAGCGTACCTTGCCACCTAAAAACCGACTGTTTCGGAATTTCCTGAGGAAGAAAGCAACAAAGAAAGTGCCTATCATGAGGACTAGAGACAGGAGAGCAGTGTTGGGCTGGTTGAGGATGTGGTCATTCACATAATCAGTAGCTGGGGAACTGGGATACACTGCCATCAGTGGATGTTCCTTAAAAACCTGGAAACAAGAAGAGAGTGTCAGTTTATCCTCTGTTGATTGGTTTTATGGGCTATTTGTAGATGACAAGGAAAGGGTTAACTGGAAGTGCTGTATTTTAAATTACAATAAATGAATAATTAAGAACACATTCTGCTATCTTGTTATGAGGGAGCATTCAAAAAGTGTTATTTACTGTCCAAACGATCGAGCTCAGCGCGCTGTGCGATATCTGGAGTAGTTACCTTGATGAGCTTAGAGAAAGTCTCATAGATGAAGATAAGGGAGATGAGGAAAGCAAAAATCTCCTGGGTAAAGGGTGAGATGTAGCGAACAAGAAAGCTGCCCTCCGCTGCCACAATCACCAGCACAATGAAGACGAGCCAGAAACCAATCCACACTCGACCAGTCAGGTACTCGTAGTTATGGGCCTGACAGAACTGAGTGAAAAGATAAAGACATGATGGTTATATGTTCAGGGAAAAATGGGAAATGTGTAACACAAGGCGAATTTGCGTTCTCAGAAGTACCTTGTAGTAGGCCTCTTCAAACACCAGTAAGGGTCCTGAGAAGCCTATGATGAGAAGGGGCTGGCCAGCAAGCAGCGAGAATATAATTCCAAGAGTTGCAGTTGACACAATTAGCTCCGTCACTCCCATCATGCCCTCTGTTTTTTCTCCTGTATGTAAATACAGCGAAAAACACATCTTCAGAGCACAGTTATCAAAACGTCAGTCAAATTTCTAGTTTCTCGTAGTTTCCCTTTACCCAGCAGGCCTCCGAAGGTAATAGTGGGCGACAGTGCAGCAAAATAGATGAAGATGACGGCAGCGATGCACTGCGTGTCCACAGCATCCTTTAAGTCGCTGATGTAGTGTGGGTAGCGGCGGCGGATGTCGTGGATCAGGCCTCCAAAAGGGATCCCTGAGCGCTTTAATGGGTCCACCTCCTGGTCTCCCTCCTCCTCCTCCTCTGGACTCACCTCTAGGGGGTTTGTTACAGGTTCCATTACATTAAGAAAATACTAAGGATCATCATCATCTTAATAATACAGTAGTTAATAAAAATGTATTAAATTATTAAATTAAAGACTGTAAAAAAAACACCACCAAATTAAAAAGGTAAGAGGCAACTCACTGTCATAAGGAAAACACTGGCAGGTGAAAGGTATTGTCCAGCGTATCTAAAGCCTGAGCTGCTCCTTTATTACCATGAACAGGGGCACTATAGTTTAGTCGATCCTACATAAACCGTCCTGCTACCTTAAATACTTACAAGAGTAACAAATGCGTAGTAAGCTGAAAATACTCACCAACAAATGCGCTTTTTACTCCTGTTTGAATAAAGCTTCCTAAAAACTAAAGTACCCAGCTGTTTAAGGAAATTACTGAGAATTACTAATATTTTTGTGTTGTGTGAAATGTTAAGATTTATATATGTGAAAGGTTCCTAGAGCTGCACTTTTCAGTAGTTTTACAAATGATGATGATACATCCCATCACCTCGGTAAAGTAAGCGTTCATACTGTAGCTTTAGCAGGTTGTATATTATCTACAATAACATTATAACAACATTAACATAACTTATAGTATATGATAAAGTTCTTGATATGATTGATGCTTAACAGCTGCCATCCACCTATTAAAATGTCCAACCAGTACTTTTTTAACATATAAATCCAATGTATATAATACATATAGATTAAAAATTCACATTATGTGTTCCTCAAGATGTGCCTTGCTGTCTTCCATTGTCTTTAAATAGTTGTAGTTACATAGTTTTTATACTAGGGGATGCCAAAGACATTTTACAATTCTACACATAGTGGCCTATGGGAGCGCCATAAGGATGGGATTATTCTACATTCTTCTTAACGTCAACTAATCTCATGAAAAGAGGTCTGCACACAATTAAAAGGCGTTGCATTGCAGGTTAACATTGGTTTGCAGGATCAGAGGTGCCTCCTTCAAACCTAGTAATTGAGAATTTAGCTTAGAAAAGAGGCTCTTCAGGGACTTGACAGACTACCTTTGTTGTTCTGCTCCAATCCAGCAGAGGACTGCTGCCTCTTGAGTTCTCTTTCCTTCCTCTTGCGCATCATCTGCTTCTGGAAGTCAGCCACCGTCTTCAGGAGGTCTTTGCCTTCCACATCGGAGGGTGGAATGACGATGCTGCAGTCCAAGAATTCATTGATACCATTCAGGAGGTCCTGTCTGTCGTCAGCAAAATAGGCCACCTCGTGGAAACTCTACAGCAAAACACAATTGAATGTCATCACCAGAATAATAAAGAAAGGTTTACCATCTTATCCGTGATTAGAAAATTACTCCAATCAATTATTAAACATCTCAGGTGCCTTTCAGGGCCATGTACAGCAGAAGGTCACGTAGCCACTAGGATTAACTTTTGGAAAGTCATTATTTTATATTTTATGCAACACAAAAATATGCAATGGGTTGCTTTGTCATTTTGAGGAAGATAATTTGCATGTTTTCTTCATTTTGTGTAATACTAACATGTCTGTCCTCTTTGTGAGGCTTTCCTGGTTGAATGAAAATGAACCTTAGATGTCCTCTGAATAAAATCCACCTCCAAATCATAATGGCCCGAAAGAATATAATCACATTTTAATGGTTACTTATTTATAATATTTGTGTACAAAATGGCATAACGTGTTCTAATCTAAATCAGATTCTGATTGTTTAAGAGTGACTGAAATATGGTGTTACATCTTTAAAGTTTTACATCTACCTTGTCAGACATTAGAGTGGCGAAGGAGCGTCCGATCTCATGATAGTCCACGTTGGACTGAATGGGACCAAGCAGGATGAAAATGAAGCGAACAGGGACGGGGACCTCCAGCACCGACTCCAGGAGGACTGCCTCATTCAACCTGACGAAGGCCATGGCTGGCTGTTCCAGAAAATCGACACAGCCTGACAGGACACAAAAACAAAACCACAATTAGCATTATTTTATTCTTACATTCATCACCTGTTTATTCTGATAACACAGCACGTCCATGTCCATAACAACTTTTGTAGTGCTAAATTTGCTGTTAGGTTAGATTGTTTTACCAGCCACACGACAAAGTTAAGGCTAAACCAGGTTTGGATGCAATGCAAGCTGCATTTGACACACAGCCTTAATGGAAAATTTACTACAAGCAGATTCAACATCTAGCAGTTTTAAATAAACAGAAGAAAAGAAAAGACATAACTCCTCAAAGTAATCTACTTTGTCAAAACTCCCAGAGCTTACCAACTAAAACGATGACAGCCTCGGCATCTTTGGGAATCTTGGCGAGGAGTTTCATCGATCTGGCGGCGGCTGGAAAGCTCTCAGGATGCACAGGGTGGAGAGATTTCTTGGAGGGAGAACAGAACAAACATAATCCACATTGTTCTAATAACCAATGTGATGTGACACCATAACTTAGCACGGGACCAGTAATGTGAGATTATTGAGGGAATAACGTGTCTGTATGAACAATAATATTCTAATTCTTCTCCTGTGCATTTTAAACTACACAACTGGATGTCTGGTCCTTTATGTTTAAGCTGAATTATTTTAACAGTCTGTTTTAAATATCAAGCCATGGGGAACGTTAAGTTTTCACAGTTAATGCATCAAGAAGCTTTAACTAGAAGCACCTGTAAGCTGACTAAGAACATAATTCAACACATGTGGCCAGGGAGGCTCACTTTCTCTGACATCAAGAACTACCTACGTGACTTCTGACCTCATGGAGGGGTGTTTCAAAGAACAGTTTGTGAGCCACAGGCTTCACATCAGGAATTTAGTATAATCATGCTTAAATCTGTGCTTACTGCTGCTTCTAAGAACTTAATGAAAACCAAAAAGAAGAACAAGACAGCTCAACATCTCTTTTATCTTTGTCCATTTAGATAGTTGAGTTCAATTATCCTTGTGGATTCTTGTCAAAACTAGTTTGGCTCTGGCAAATCACACTTACTTTGCTGTCTGCCCGCACGGCTTCCACTATGTCAGAGGCTATCATCACTCAGATCTCACATGTCACAAAGAGACTCAAAGAGTAAAGTGTAAAGGTGATGCTGTAGACTTAAGTCAAAACAAATGGAAACTTACAAACAGGCTGACAAACACATCTTGTTTTGGGTCGTATACTGGCCCCTTGTTCTCGTCCTCTTGCCCTTCAGTCACCATTAGTGGCAGAGTGGGTTCCTGGACGTGGTTGTGATTGATGCTGCTATGAAGACTGCTGGATGAGTGGTGGCGGTGAAAACGTTGTTTCATATCATTCGGATGGCTGTGGGAAAAAGAAACAAACAATGTGACAAGGTTAACACATTGATGTTTAGCAAGTAGTGTTTACCAGGAGCACCACATTAGTTTTAGTGGGTTAGCATGCTACAGCTAATAAAAGTCCAGCTGAGGCTGTAGGAGTGTCATTCACTGCTGAACCAAAGAAGGATAAGCACAAATTAAAATGTTAACCTGATGAAGGCCATTTTCATTGTATTCCATCCAACAGCTGTACAAATATTTCACTCTGAACCAAAAAAGGTAGCCTCCTGCTGGCACCAGGTGAAGAGTAAGAGGATACAACATCATGAAGATCAACACCAAATTTTGTGCGAGCCCATCCAGTTGATGAAGTCCACTCAGTCCACTGGAAACATCGACGTGCTACATGAGAAGATCACCAAAGTCCTTAGGATTGATTTGCTGTGTATCATGAACGTCTGCAGCAAATTTCATGGCAATCCATTAAATAGGTGTTAAGAACTTTGGACTGAAGTTGTGGGATGACTGACTAGCTTTACCCATAACGCAACACCGCTAGCATGGCTAAAAAGTAGTTAGGACCGGGAGGATTGCTCTCTATTATGTTCTAATAACGCTTAAAGTTTCGTTCAAACTTTATCTGGCAGACTCAATGTCAGCATTACAGACTTTACTTTAGTTTCAGCCATTTAAAACAAAACACAAACCCTCCTAACAGGTGCTTCTGCAACAGATTGGCGCAGCACCACAACCTTGTACTCTATAAACACATACTCAGTCCAATATGTTTCAAAATCTCGTCTTTTAACAGGATCTCACTGGCTTCATTGATGAAAGGAGTTTCCTGAGTTGTCACAAATTTGATTGTGTTTCACCTACTCTACCTTCTGTTCATTCGACATCTTCTGTTCATTCGACATCTTTTACATCATGCAGCTGGTACTGCAGCTCATAAATTCATCAGCAAAATCCTTTTCTCAATTCAAGCTTATTAGTAAGTTCTAATGTCTTGGGAATATCTGAGTTGACATATTCATTTTCCAAAATGTAATATTTGCATTAAAACATGAATGAAACAACCAGAGAATTATCTCTGCTGCCTTATTATCTAAGCTTTTGTGCATGGGAGTGTTAGCATGTTTCGCTCCCTCTGAAAGAGAAGTATTTAGTGTCACATCAGACAGTTTTTTTTTTTTTTTTTAAACACTGCTTCATTACATCACTGCTCAGTCTAATGGTGACATCACCTCACTCATTAGGCCCACATGGTCCAATAAGACGTCACCCCAAATTGGAAGCGACAGCCCCGTGAAACAAAAGAACGAGGTGTGACACTGCAGTGAATTGTGCTCGAGCTTTTCCAGAGGATCTTTAAAGTGGTCTGAGTAAGCGATGAGCTCAGATTTAGCAGCACCTCAGTGTGTTTCTTTCCACGCTGTAAATCTGATATCTCAGACGGGTGATGACTCTAATGATGACAGAGTGTTTTTTTCCCTGTGGACGCAACCAGTGGGAATTTATGTGGAAAGGCTGTGAAAGATGGAATGAACACATGATGGGCCTACTGCTAAGAAAACACGCTGGCCAGTTTATTTTGCTTTTGTTGTGTCGTTTTATGTGTGCAAAATCCATCCCCTGCACATTAGCCTTTAGTGAAACAGCAAGGTTGGCCACCACAATGTTAGTAATGTGGAATTATTTGCTATAATCTATTGGCCAAATCCAAACTGTGTCATCACACCAAAGCATTCTTCATGCATTACTGTTACTGATCAAACCAAGGCGGTACCATTCTGACTTGACATAGGAGGAGCCAGACTGGACCAGAGGCTTAGCAGAGCTGTGTACAGAGACATAAGGGTAAGAGGAGTTCTTTGGAAAAGAATATGAAAGCAGGTACAAGTGAAAGTTTATCCTTGACCTTGGCAACAGCACTTATCAAAACGATCAAAGTCCATTTAGCAACAGTTCTGGAGCTTTCGACTGTATGACATGATAACATTTGAGAACTTTTAAGCCAACATGGACGAGAAGTTCATGAGAAGTGCTCATAACAATGGAAATTTGTACACCTGCAACTCTACAACGACCGGGCAAACTCCATCTCCTAAGGAACCTAAGGAACAGCTAATAAGTGGACCTACTGTCAACAGGTGTTTATGTCTGCAAGTGAGCACTGACACCAAATTGTATGCATGTCGACTCAAAGAAAGAAGACTAATAGTCTGCAGCCATGCTGGAAGTTTGAGGGTCCAAAAGGCTAATGTCAACATGCTAACATGCCTAAAATGACAATGTTAACAAGCCGATGCTTAGCAGGAATAATGTTTACCATGTTCACTTACTTTAAATTAGCTGATTAACACTAGACACAATAAAGCACAGCTGATGAGAAGGTCATTAGTTTGAAACTCCTGTAGAGGCCAGAGGATCACTCACTTGCTACTTTTCATCCTAGCGTTCATGTTCCCCACACAACCAAATTTAATGTCAATTAGCAATCTCAGTCTCCTGGTGGCGCTAGAGTCAGAGGGATCATCAAAATCATCAGGATTTGTTTTCATAGCGCCATAAATATATCTACAACTTTTCACCAAATTCAATCCCAACAGTTGTGGAGACAATTCTTATATATAGATGTCAAGGTCATGGTGGCCCTATAGGAAAAGTCAGGGGAGCATTTAGCCAGGCTTCATCTGGGGACCTTGTCATGACAATAACTTCAGTAGTTACAGTAATGGCTGACCAGCAGACCAAAAGACTGACACATGCTGTCCTTGGACTTGTTTCTAATGACCTTTTCTGCCTGTCATTAGTTGTGGAATAGCATTTAACGTGACCCCTGATTTGACACAAAATATTAACTGGGGGATGAGTGAGCATGACGACAACATCCGTACTTTTGATGGGCATGGCTTATCTTTCCCTTCGGTAATTCAGTTTGACAGCCAACATTTAGTTAACTTGTTTTTTGTTTGTTATATAACCGAATAATAAATCTATAATGCGCTACGTGTAGTGCACTATCCCACTGGCAATGTGTTAGGTCAGTTTAGCTGGCATGTCAATGCAAGGGCTAATCAATAAGTGGGGACCATTTGAGAGAGCAGATAGCCAGGAGATGACATGTCACATATATTTGCATCAAGCCACATGTTTATTTGACTTTTTTATACAGCAGTGTGCCGGATCTGATGTAACTATCCCCTCTGGTGTTTTGTCAGCTGCAGCTGAGATAATTTGTGTTTTTGAGGTTTTCTAGTGGGCAAGTCACTGAAAGCACGTTGTGGTGTCACATGATAACCAAGTCTACTAACATACACTAACACTATAACACCCAATAATTTCAAACAACACCATCGAACTACAGTGGCTGACTGGGCTGGCTGGAGAGAACCTGCTCATGCAGAAACCACAAAACATTTTAGAAACATAAAGATAAAAAAACCTAGATTTATGAAAAGCAACAAAAAGGCTGGTTTCAAGGTAGCAAGTTCATTTATTCACTTTTTCAAAGCCAAAGCTAACGCTGTCTTTTTCATTCTCCTTAGCGTGTAGCTCTGAGCATCAGATTCAAACACCTACTCTTTTGTGTATGAAACAGAAGTAAGTCTGAAAAGGACTGAATGGGCAAAAATACTGCAAAGGCAAACAAAGGCAGAGATCAAGGGGCCAGGATGGCTCACACAATGAAGAGTCAAACTTTTAATCTGACTGTCTAAGCTTTAAGACCCAGTGCAGCCAGCTACAGCACAGTCTTGACATTTGAAATTTAGTCAACCCCGGGGAAGTACACCAGATGTGCCAAGTGTTGTTAAATGTCAAAATTTGGAAATTCCCTGTTCAGTTCCCCCGAGTTTGACTTTTTCTAACAACCTCCACTCCACTGATGATTAATGAGGAAGAGAGAAAGGGCTAGGTTTTTATTCTCCATGCTCCCATATATACAATCCATGATCGAAATGTAAATAAAGCTGCATCCACACTACCATACACCGACGGGTCGGTTAATACATGGATAAAGAAATGATTAAATCTAAGACAACACTGTGTTTGGGGCCTGACTCATGAAGCAGGAGTTGTGGGTTAGTCATCGAACTTTGGGATGGAGTGGGATTAAATCGAGATCTGTTGTCGTGGTAACTAAGACCACAGACCAAAACGGCAAGTACGAGCTCTTCTTCAGGCTTAAGAAGAAAGTCCTTCTTAATCAAATGAAAAAGTGACAAATGCTAAAGCTGCCAATATTATTTAAAATTCTAACATAAATCTTTAAAAACAAATCATGAATGTAAAGTAGTTTTTAGCAAACTTAACTCAAACTGGTGTAAATAGGGCATTTCCAGAGGACTATTTTCAGCAGCGGATTAATACACAATTTCCAGGAGCAATGTATGTTGGCAGTGTTTGTAATTAATAAAATGTAATATTACACATTAATGTGCTGAAATTCTTGAAAGTCATGAATCAGTGTAGCCTCATATTCCATTAGTGGAGACCTGAAGAACCTGATTCCTGCCAATGGACCTTCATCAATTTTCTCCAAGACTTTGTACTATGACCAGCCTCATGTGACTGGCTGTCAGGATTGTTAGTATTCGGTTTAGTGAAGCTGAGTATGAGCCAACAATGTAACAGCTGCCTTTAACCCCCCCTGGGATGCCACTACAAAACTGACTGTACTGAAACCAGGTGATAAAAATGTTCTCTTTTCCGAGAGGTACATCATATTAGAAGTCTGTGTCAGCCTGGTGACTGACCAGTGTTTGAGAAGCAGAGCCCGAAGGACACTGGGTCTGTCCTCAGCTCGGATCTGATCAGAGATGATCATCGTCTCCACCACCAGATGGATGATGCCGGGCAGTGTCTTCTGCTCGAGGTCCAGAAGGACGGCGCCTGGGGAAGGAAGGTGCGGGAAATAAGGAGCCAAATATAATTGTCCAAGGTGGTTTAAAGAGCATCCGCATGTGAATGTCAAAAGGGAGAAAAGGTTTCAAGTCTACATATTGTTATTTGAGAAATTTTGCCAAAACCACATTGGATTGCACATAGATATGGGTAAACCGTAAGACCAGCGCAGTGAGCATCTGCTTTGCTGTTTGCCTGCAGGAGCTGTTTACCGTGCGTGATGGTGCGGCGAAGTTCCAGCAGGCTGCGGAAGGAGAGTGAGGCCACATGAGGTTTGCCCCAGCGTTCTGTCTCCTCCTCCACATCCTCTTCAAACTTGATCCAGCGGGCCCGCTCCTTCCATTGCATTTCATGGTCTTTCTCCACAATCAGCTCGTTCAGCTCCACAAACAACTGGAGATCGAGTGAAGCAGACATATTAGAAAAAAAAAAAAAAAGATACATGGCTTAACACTTATTAGGTACTGGAAACTGAGCAGATGATTGTTAACATATAGTGATTGGGAAAAACTGAAGAAAAAACTGCATTTATATATTTTACGCAATTAGGAAAATGAATTCAAAGACAGCTAATCCAATGACGGAGTCAACACACATGTTTATGGAAACCAACTAAAGTAAGTGGTTTGGATCCAGCTAAGAGTGGTTTGGACTAAGAGGAGAGACGTTTTGTCACTTTCCATCATGGAATTCATTTTGTGTGTGTTCTCAGACATTTTTGCTGTCAAACTGAGCTGAAACATAAGAAGCAATTTTGTATTTAAGTCTCAACAGATCAATGAAGAGGAGTTTGCTTAAGCTAAGACTACACTCTCGGAGGTATGGACTTTATAAAATGTATTGCATTTATGGATTCATACTTATCAATAAGTATGCACTAATCAATATTTTGCATAAAAAAATGAATCAAACGACTATGTGTAATGAAATACGTCTCATTATAGCGATAAATATACAACAAATTATCACCCAATTTTACAATTCTCCTCAGGTTGAAGGACTGTTTTAGGTCATTCTTTTAACTTTGCTTTACGTTTAAGTTCACTCTTAATGCTTTCTTGAATCTTGTTTCTAAGAGCAGTAGGCAGCTGTTTTTAGTACAAAAACCACTGTTAAAGGCATTGTATTGAACCTGCCTTGTGCTAAATAGCTGACAAAGTTAGCAGCTAGCTAGTGAGCACTGTGGAGCAGCAGGATGTCAAATATTTCCACTCAGGAGTTGGTGTAGACCAAACCAGAACTACTAGGAAAGTGAATATTGGACTGGTAGACAGAATGGCCACTCCTAATGAATGCTAATGATGCTCTGTGTCTGCTGAATGTGTAAATAGACAATTGCATGCTAACATGTTCACCATGATTTAATAAGGTGATGTCAGTGTTGTGTTTGTAGGTACACTGAACAGCCTAAGGCACACCTGTGCAATCCCCATGCTGTCTGATCAGCATCTGGATATGCCACACCTGTGAGGTGGATGGATTATCTCGGCAAAGGAGAAGTGCTCATCGGCACGGATTATGACAGATTTGTGAACAATATTTGAGAGAAATAGGCCTTTTGTGTACATAGAGAAAGTCTTAGATCTTTGAATTCAGCTCATGATGAATGGGGGCAAAAACAAAAGTGTTGCGTTTATAATTTTGTTCAGTGTAGTTCGTTTGCCCCAAGATGGCCAAGAAATGATTACTGGTTTTAAAAATGATGATATTTCGGTTTTAATAAAGGAAACTTTATGATTTTATGTTATGTTAAGTATTCCCACAATTGTCAGTATACAGATTAATGTAGCTGGGGGGAAAAAGGTGTGCTGTAAACCTCATGAATTTTCTTATCTGCTGCTCTCTTCTTCTTCTTCAGACTGCATAGTGGTGTGGAACTGTTGGCCCGGTTCACCAGACATCGTGATGACTTCTTCACCAGGTGACGTCTCACCCCGGGGTTGTCCTCAAATCTGTGACCTGAACAAGTATTTTAAGACAAAATGAAAAAGTTCAACATTGCTGAGTATTTCAGAAACCAACCTAACTGGGTCCGTTCAGTAACCATTAGCCTGAAATGCTCTTTTTAGGACTGTGAACAAATAAAACATCCTTTCTAACTCTGAAATGTGCTCCATGCTGGAAAATCAAAAATCAAATTTGTATGTCTGTTTAAGTTTCCAGCTGACAGAAAAACATCCAATAAGAGAAGGAAAAGGCTCCATGGGTGAGTGAGAATATATGTACGCCATTGGAAACTGTTACAGAGAAGGTGGTTTTGCCCTCAGACATCTGTCATTTCAAAAAGAGTCATTTCATTTTCAATTTCCTTGACCCACAAATCATAGTTTATTGAATTTAGCATAATAAGGAGGAGGATGACGTAGCTATCATTTCCCATGAAAGACAGGGGAAGCTTTGGATAAAGGAACTGGGAAATGAAAAGAAAAAGGCTAGCCACCTGTGTGGCAATGTGTTTAGAGAGGGGATGTCTTAATGTGATTTAAGGTAATAATTATATGTTAGCCAAATACTAAAGTTGACGTATTCAGTATTTTGAGGCCCAGCATGTGTTTTTATAGGTATTTGGTGGTATTTAGGTCAGGAAAAACATAGAAAAATTAGGACTTAGGAAAAACATAGAAAAGAAGCTGTCGTTTTGCAAGTTTTTACTGCAAATTAGGAGATCCACTGCAATAAACATTTTGTTAGCTTTATTTATTTTGACAAAGCTCAAAATGCAGCAGAGACTATTCTGAAATATTTCCCTGTTGATACTTTAAAAGAGGCTCAAGCATCAATATTTGAGAGTAATAATAATGCTGTAACAGGCAAAAGCACTAACACAGTTACGATGTAAGAGCACAATTACCGGAAGGACATTTGAGGTTACATTATGACATGGGGTTGGTGTATTTAAGGTCAGGAATTAAATCTGGGGCAGCTTAGAAATAAACATTTTCATTCAGTCTGCTGTCGACTAGTCAGACCAGCCAATGGCTGAATGTAAGTTCCTACTCAATAAACACTGTCTTTTTTAATCTTACATGTGCAGCCAGAGGTAACCAAAGTGGATGTGAGAGATTGATCATTGATCATCATGCCTTCCTCAGGGAAACAGAGAGAAATTTAAATCAAGATAAAGTTAGACTGTATTTCACATGGTAGCGTTGCCAAAGGGAAAAACCTGTCCTCCTATCTGATATGAATGAGCTGATTTCTCTCACCATAGGGTACTAGTTGCCAAATCCAAACCTGAATACATGTAAATACAAATATACCATATTATGCAAAGGGGGAATTGGAGTGACTTTAGGGAGTCTTTAAAAGGCAATGTCAAGTCTACCTACGAATCAAACACAATTGTTTTTTAATATTAGACATAACTGACTGTAAAGCCTTGTTTCACATTCATACACATTTGAGTATCAATTATTTTGTAGTAAACTAGAAGAAAAACCCTTTGGCTTTTTCTCTGTGATGGGACTTTACATGGGCAACATGAGCAGCCACATGACTAATCTGTATTGCTCACTTGGGTCAATGACAAGACACACATGTTCTAGATTAATACTTATACTGAGGAAAACAACTCAGCTAAACTATCCCTGTGTAACCATCTCATTTTGATTATACCAAACTATGTGCCTTTTAGAGATTAAATAACTCCCAATAATGACCAAAACAAATTGCTTCAATATCAAAAATAATAAGCCACTTGATTTGCTTGCCAGATGCCATGCTGTCCACATCAATTGTTGTAAAAAACTAATTTGCACCAAAGTGGTAACTAAATAATGTAAACTATCCAGCTTCATTTGAATCCAAAACAAAAGGGACCCAACCCTTTTATTCTTTTATTTTATTGCATATAGTGACATTTCCTTTTACTTCTGTTACTAATCTGCAAGAGCCTAACTACACATTGTTCAATGAATAAGTCTTACTGTTAAATGTGTATAAAATGAGAAGGGATTTGGCCTTTATAAAACTGAAAGAAAGAAAAACCCAGTTTAAACATTACGTTATGAACAATTTAATGGGTAGTGCTTAAAAGCACTGGTTCTATATTACAAGCTTAATGGAATTAGATATCCCGATATAAAGCATAACGGCTAAATTTATCCATGAACTATACAAAATAAAACAGTGGTTACAATCTGATGCATAAATGTCAGTAAGGACCTACTGATGAGTTTTTTTGTCAGTGCCTCTAAATGCTTGTTCCTTACTAAGAAGTCATTCTCATTCAAAGCTTTGCTTTGCAAATACTTTCGAACTGTTTATGAGTTTTTTCAGTCTGTGTTTTATTTCTTAACCAGATATGGTTAATATTCATGGTAACTGTTATGCACTTTGGTCACTAATTGCAATTTTAGGACCTGCTAAAAAAAGAGCAGGGGTCAGAAATGGTGTGTTGCTAGTAGCCAGGGGTTATTAACTTGGGGACTAACATGGCCCTCATGTGAGGAGGGCCCACAAAGATATTAGAATGAATAGACATAGCTATGGGGAGGGGCCCAAAGACAATGCCTATGTACAGGGTCCAGAATTTTGTGCTACATTGTGAAAGAGTTTACAGCCACGCCAGCAGGTCTGTAAAGCTATACAATGCAACAACATGATCATGCTAACATGTTCAAAATACCAATGTTACCATGCTGATGTTTACCAAGTCATGTTTACCATGGCCATTATCTTAGGTTAGCATTTTAAGATGCTAACAATTGCTAATTAGCACTAAACCCAAAGTACAGCTGAGGCTCATGAAAGTGTCATTAGCTTTATTTCTTCACTATCCAAAGTAATTTTGACCTGATGATGTGGCTAGAGGAATCATCAGGGGATCTCCAAAGTCACAACAATTCATCTTCTGGGGATCATGAATGTCTTTACAAAATTTCATTGTTTACCAGCTGACACTACCCTCCCTTCAGCCCAAAAAATAGATTTAAAATGAAGACAAGTGGTTTCATTATTGTCCAAAATGAACTTGAACAAATCAAAGACAAGCTGACACAAGCTCAGTGCCACATTTAACTTTACATTAATGGTTAATGGTGTTTGGCAGACACAGTAATCAAAAGGCAACCAGCAATACTGCTCAAAATTCAAACAATAATATCAATCATGAATCATTGGTTAATGCTATTAGCTTCATATACTATGAGATAACTATATGAGTACCAATCACAGTTCCATTACTTTATATTAGAATAATGAAGGACAAAATGTGAAGTTATAGTTCCTACCCTGTGTACCCAGAGTAACAAAGTTGGTGCTAGCTGTGTTCAGCTACAACTTAACACTACATCAATTAGCGCTTATAAATGTGTCAAGGTATTGCAAGCGGATCACCTTCATTTCTTTTGCATGTGTGGGAACCTAGCTTCATCACAGGACAAATGTGCCATGTTTATCCAAACTGGGATAAAAATAGCAGAACCACACATTGTTTGTCAATGAAATATCTTTCCGCTCTAGCTGTGGCTAACCCTAAAGCCAAATGGGTGCCACTGGATCAATAGGAAAGCAGGAAGCAGGAGCAGTCGAGCACAGTGTCAATTCGCTCAATACCGTGGACAACTTAGTTCTGTGTGTGGCCATGAATGAGCCTTACATTGCCATTAATTAGACGAGCAGCAAGCTACATAATCAATGGAAACAAGTGAGTTCCCGCCCATTGATTAACCATGAAAAAACAGATTAAAATGCTCGCCCATGTGATTTTCTTATGATTGCATCAGCACTTCTTTCATCGGAAGCTTGACGTTACTTTCGCAACGGTCAAAGCTCTTTGAATGGACAGATATGTAATGCTACTCAGTAAGAGTAAAGGTATATTTCCACACGACTTACGGATAGGCTCGACTGTTGACTCCAGTTGAGTGTGGATTGACTCAAGCAAGTCATAGTCATCAAAATCCAAAACAAACTCTTCAAAGTCCTCCAACCCCTCCATATTGGACAACGAGCTGCAGTGCTCATGTGAGTGCTGCCTCGGAGCGCCAAAGCCTTTTTGGACACTGCACCGACGTTCTGGAGCAAAGTGGTCAAGGCAACGCTTCTTATCAGAGGTCCCATGGCCTTGGTTGTCCTGTCCCTCAATGTCTGTCATCTCCACGGTCGGTACCTCCTCCTATCCTCCTCTCTCCAAGTGAACACACTGCTCATCCAGGGCTTCCAACTCTTCAGCGCCGTTGCTCGCCCTGGGTCACTGTTCTGATCAGCCTGGGTCTACCAGCCTAGCCTACCTCTGATGTACTGCTCTGGTCGTGCAAAATTACTGATGTGTAAACCAGCTCAGATTACAGATAAGTATAAAAATACTTTCACCTCAAGGAACCAAAAATAAAATATCTTGTGTTCCGGGACTACAACTTATAATAAGTTATATGAAGCAAGAACCAAGCACAAAAAAAAGAAATATCTTGGAAATTTTGAAAGAATGTGTCAGTCCAAATGATCACTCTTCAGTCTAAAAATACTATAGACACAGGATCCTAAATATTTTTTTTGCCTTAAATCCAAACAAAATGCAAAGTTGTAGCTACACCCTCAGGCAGACGCCCCCCTGCTGGATCCACAATCAGAGAGATGCATACATAGTAGCAGCATTCCCTTTAGCTGCAACTTCAAAAGGAAGTATTGATATGGGCTGGTCTACTTTGTGAGACCCGCCTGTCAGCTGAATGGTAGTGCCGCCTTTTTTTAATGATGTCCACAGCCCATTGATCTTTGTGGCTGTTGGAAAACCGACATAAAGTGGAACGGAGTAGAAGAGTTGCCATCACTTTCCAGCCATGTGATGTGTACGAGGGTAAAGGTCAAGTTCCAAAGTTGCCATCTCCCATCTCCAGCGGAATTGCATTAAACTGAAAAAAGCACACATATACACAAAACACATGCAGAAAAATACACTGAGAACTCAAAGTACACAAACACTACTACTGTAGAGCGAAAGCCTAACTGGTGAGAAT